TCCTCCATTCCACGCTATTCGTACCGACGTGACTCCACATAGTTACAACCTGCGTCACACTTCAATCTTATCTCCAACAGCCAAGGTTCACTTTACGATGTACCCACAATCTTTGCGGTTCAATGGTTTTGTTTACGTCTGTAATTTCGTGTTTTATACTTTTTTCTCCAGTTGACATTCGTGTTAGACGAAGTTCGTGAATACTTTTACTGAAATAGTTTTCTGGTATTTGATACTTGGAAAGCATTATACTGAAAAAAGTTTTGTGATAACTTCGAAGCACGATTAAATGTTTATTATTTTAATGTATAAATTCTCTAATAAGGCTCTAATTTAGAATTTTAACTCTATAAAATGATCATTTAGCCCTTTTAACATTTCACTGCTAGACAAGAGCCTATCCTCAATATAAGGCCCATAATACACCCTAGCAATATTCAGATGGCAAATTTTTGGATGGCACCTTATTCTTATATCTCTTTAATTCCCTTTTACTAATTTCCTCACATTTATTGCTTGTTTGAAAGAACTTTCTGGAAAATTTCTGATAAAGTGTCATTTGACTGGTGAGTAGTCACTAAAGGAGTCGGAAGGGAGCACCCCAGCTCAGCAGTGTGCGATAACGCTTATCAATCAAACACACGCGCAGGGTAAATTATATGAAGATTTAAATTATTTCTGTTCAAGATAAATATGTGGATGAAATCTCAGTATGTTTTTACTCAAATAATAATCATAAATATATTAGTATTATAAAAACAATTTGCAACGGGTATTTTATTTTATCTAGCCTCATTATAAATGTGTTTAATAAAAGTTGATTAGACACTAACACGAGCTATTTATAATTTGAAATAATCTTTAATACATTTCATATTACTTTCTTTGTCTATGATACTACTACTTACTACTATTAATAACGTTCTTTACGTTTTTATTGCATTTAACGTTTTTATAGACATGCCAAAAAAATTAACACCAGTGTATGACGTTGTGAAAAACACTCATCACGTCATCATACACTGGTGTGATCTTAGACAAGACAGCGTAGTCTACGTAACATAGCCCTTAAATATGTTTTTTTATATTTAAACTAGCAGAACAATAAAATCTCTAAAAAGGTAGGTTTCATACAGACTTTCATCCCCTATTTTACCCTCTTAGAAATTGAATTTTGAAAACGCTGAAATACGTAACTCATTATTTTTGCCGTACTCAATTCATACGAAATTTCATGAAGATATATCCAAGGTATAAAAAAGTTTCATACATTTGATCCCCTATTTCACTCCCTTGGGGGTTGAATTTTGAAAAATCCTTTCTTAGTGGATGCCTTCGTCATACGAGGAATACGTGTGCTAAATTAAATTTTCTAGCTTTAAGGGTTTGGCTTGTGCGTTGATACATCAGTCAATCACTTTTTTGCCTTTTATATATATAGATAGACTAGCATTGCCCGCGGCTCCGCCCGCGTTCAAATGACCAAACACCAAATTCTTAGGTTTTACATATAAGTATACTCTTACAATGCAGTTTTTGTATTTTTTCTTAGAAATGAGATATTTTCCCGCGGTAAAAAGTATCCTATATGTTGACCCGGATAACCAACTATCACCATACCAAAGTTCATCAAAATCTGTCCAGGGGTTTTCTCGTGATGCGGTAACAGAAAGACAGACAGACAGACAGACAAAAACTCTAATAACTATAGATTCGGACTGCGTATCGATAATAATGTCTATTTCAATTAGATTTTCCAAAAAATATTTAATGTAAAGATTCGACTTAGTTACAATTTTATTATACGTATAGATATGATTTCCATGTATTTTTTAATTTTCTAGAGCGATAGCGATTATAGAATGTCCTAAGCCCTTTTGCCATAATAAAGTAATCATCGTCATATCATTCATACCGTAACCTATTCTTTAGGGTCGACTAAGCAAATATCTAAAGTCCACGCTCCCGGCTGTTTGTCTTGCAACCGATATGGGGAGACTGTTTTTGTTTGGTTTGCGCTCTGGCGCTTTTGCATCATGTAGGCAAACTTTGTTTTTGAGCATAAAATAATTAAAGTTGTAAACTATTCTTTTTATTTACAAATTATTCAACATATTAGATATTTTTTGTATAAAAAATATATATACGTAAGTATAGATCACTCATATCAATCTATACGTAGGTATAATAAAATTCTGATTCGAATCTATACTTTAAATATTTTTTGGAAAATCTTATTGGAATAGTCATTATTATCGATCCAGAGGCCGAAACTATAGTTTTTTTGGATTTTTGTCTGTCCGTCTGTCTATCTGGGAATGCATCACGAGAAAACCACTGGACAGAATTTGATGAAATTTGGTTATCCGGAATTTGATGAAATTTGGTTATCCGAAATAGCTGGTTATCCGGGTCAACATATTACATATAGGATAATTTTTACTTTGCGAAAATATCTCATTTCTGAGATATCTATACTAACCGTTAAAACGTACCTATGGACAAACCCGACCGGAGCGAGGGTCAGTCGCTAGTACTCGGTAGTTCATTTACTTATACCATGATTTACCTACAACCAGTATGTAACGACTGAACAGTACTAGTTTTGCAACTTACGTCAACGTCTTTGCAATTTATAAGGTTCTCGGCGCAAGCGCACTTCATCTACAGCTGCATCTTGCGTAATAGTCGTGACGGTATCTCAAGTATGCACTTTGAAAGGATGAGACACTTTATCCTTATATTTATGCAACATAGGAGGCGTTAATATCTATTTTAAAATCAAATTAATTTTAAATTTGTTAATTTTAAAGTATATATAAAATAAGTCTAAATCTGGCTAAACCATAAAGAATATAACGTGAAGTAGCATATACCAATATTAAAGCCTTTTTATTTGCAATTTTATATTCTAAGCCATTAACAATTAAAAAAATATTTATTTAAAATAATTACAATCACAGTAGAAGTTGAAGTGTTAAGTTGAACACAATGTTGTTCAGATTACAGATACTTAACAGTTTTGAAATATTAATCCTTAGACCTTAGTATTGTTGAAACTGTTAAGGCATTAGTTTAAGAACTTATAGCTTTATATATTTATTTTTTAGCATTCATTTGAGATATTTTTTTCTACTTTACACTTTTTTAATCTAGTCAAACAAAGTCTCAAAGATTAAAAATACACTACAGAACTACACATATCAATAACCGCGTAAGCCGCTTAACCCTCGGGTGGAGCCTAATCCGTGGTTTAGTTCAGCCAGTGGAAGCGATTCCTTATTTGATATGTATTATCTGTATCAGCTCGTTGCACTGAGGGAGAGATGTTATCTGTGCCTCCCTTAATTCATAGCTTTGACAACTGTAATGGAATTTTGAAAACTTCTTTGTCTATGATACTACTACTACTCTACTTTCCTACATTTTCTTTTTTGATTTTCTCAATTAAAATATTATAAGATGTATGTTTTTTACTTTCTACTATAAAGGTAATCGTAGGTAATTATTTATAGAAATCGTTTTCCTATTTCTTCAGAAACAGATTGATTTTGATGTTGAAATTGCCTTTGTAAAAAAAGCCAAGCAGTACATATATTTACGCATTTTTTTTCATCGTACTACTAGGATACACCGCTGTTTGTTCATGTGTATTATTCCAGCAACAATATCTAAACACAATTACCCTCCCTAAGTAGGCAGCGCCGCAGGCGTGCACATGTTGCGTGTGTGTGAGCAAACAAATGTCCTAAACATGCTTTTTTACGTCTGAATTAAATTAAAAAAAAAGTTTGGGCTTCATATTATGATATTTCATTTTTTTAAATTAAATATTTTAATTACTTAAAAGGTTTGATATTAATTAAACTCAATATTTTAATGCTATTTAAAATCGAAGACGATACAGTAGCGCAAACAGAATACATTAAGAGGGTACCTACTAATCAACCTTCTTAAAACCAGTCATTCCGGATTCAAAGCCGTATTGACAGACAGAACTGTAAGACATTTAATTCAAACCGACTTAATTATAAAGATCATATTGTAACAACTCCTATAACAATATCAGACCTTTTTCGAATTTCCTAACAAGTTAGAATCAACCCCCAATCAAAATATTTGTATAGATAACTAGAAATGTCTATTTAAAATTTCCTCGAACAATTCCCGTATTTTATCTACAATCGTCACTTTTTTGATGGCACATCAAGGTGTTACCCTCGATAGAGCGGTAAAAAAAAGATGTCTACAGCACTACCGACGTAGCTAATGTGTAATGCGGTTGAGTTTTTGTCCAGCGAGTTGATCTTTTTGTTTCTTTTTTCATTCAGATTCGGTTACGGTTTGTATTGATCGAAAAATCCGATTTCGAAATGGGTGCTCCGAGAGTTTTATTGTTGCCACGTTACGTTCTTAAACAATAAAAAACGCATTTTGGACGGAGAATGCAATTCTCACATGTCACGTTCAGAAATTGAAGGGGACGTGGTCGTGTTTTAGAAAAGTAATTATTCGACATCGATTGGAACCAAGTCGAGGTGAGGACAATATAAAAGAGCTAATTTATTTTTTTCGTACAACCACAAAGCTTGCTATTGCAAACGTGATACCATGTGTCGATGTTTTGATTGGAGTTACGTAAATGAAGCTCAGTACGCGAGCGTAGACGCAATTTCAGAGCAATCTCGCTGTTGGCGTATTCTATTTTGCGACACTGATAAATTATTTGGTTACGGAGGTCATTTTCCCTTCTATTAATTTTTCTTTAATAATACGTTTAAGACGGCCATTACATGATCATTTACTTGGCTACTATATGACTCATTTAAAACTTTAAGCTCATCGAGTCATTTACATAATTTTATGGAGCATAGCGGTTGCTACGAATTTTCGTTAATTACATAAAAGATTTTTTTATAGCGTTCATAAAATTTTAGGTGTTAAAATTTAAATTAATATCATCGAAATAATATCTTTATTATTAAAATAAATACACTTACAATGTGTTGGTGCTTTCCCGGCTAAGTAATCCTCTTTGCATATAAACTTATTGTCGTCGAGGACATATAGCTCTTCTCCAGTGGACAGTTGTTTCCTACATACGAGACATGTGAAGCAGTTGAGATGGAACACCTTCTCACGTGCCTTCCGGACCAGGTCTGAAGGAGAGATACCATGTCCACAGCCACTGCATTTTGTTCCGTATCGCCTGAGAACAAACATATTATTCATATATTATGTATAAAGATTAAAGAAATGTTTGTATCTCTCTCTACGCTGTCTACGCTTCGCTGCCGCTCTTGCTTCGCTTGGACACTACATGCAGAGTGTATTTTAATATCATTTTAAGTAGTATACATATTGTTAATTTAAATATTTTTAAGTTTTCATTTATATTTACAAATTACAAACTATTTCGTCCATTAAACGTTGAGTTTTAAAACAATAGCATACGTTCTTTAATACGTGCCAACTTCATTAAATTGTTTCTATCGGACACTTTCGCGTTTACATTATTAATAAAGATATTGCTAAAAACATTGAATACAGTATAAAATCCAAATAAATCAACTTGGAGATATTTAAAAATGATAATTTTCAATGACCTTCCCAGGACAAATTCTAGTAACCCAAATACGACGTTTTTCTAACATTTCTCATAATAATTAGTTATTGTCTTCATTCCATAAGCAAGCTTATTATCATAACATCGCGTGTTTTAAAATATTCAAAGCTGATATAATAGACGCGCATGACCAGCGATTGCTTAAGACCAACCTCACTATAAAATGTCAGCGACATTAGATTTGGCTTAATTTGCCAAACATTCTGTCAATCTATACATAATGTAATAAAATTGTAACTAAGCCGAATCTATACATGATATATTTTTTGGAATATCTTATTGAAATAAACATTATTATGGATACAGAGGCCGAACCTATAGTGTTAAGAATTTTTGTCTGTCTGTCTGTCTGTTACCGCATCACAGAAAAACCACTGGAGCGATTTTGAACATTTTACCGCGGGAAAATATCTAATTTCTGAGAAAAAATGCAAAAACTGCAATGTAAGAGTATACTAATCTGTAAAACCTAAGAATTTGGTTTTTGGTCATCTGAACGCGGGCGGAGTCGCGGGCAATGCTAGTCTCTAATAAATTAGTAGTCTTATAAATAGTTTAGACTACTTGTGAATGTATATCGAAATATTGACAGATTATTAATTCATGAACACGTATGCGTTCGCTAACTTTTGAAGGATTATGTCGAATGTAAATTATTAAAAATGTGTTTTGACTATTTTCGTCCATGATCTAACCTCTTAACTCAATAAATTAAAAAAATTACTGGATTGGCTGTCAATATAAGTATAAAAAATAGTTTTAAATGCTATTCACATTTTTATAAAATTTACGTAACATAAGTAAATGCAATAAATGTTTAAAAAAACATGGTCGTGATGGTCGCTATGTTACTCCCTTTTACTTTAGATACAACAGTAGTATTAATAATAATATAATTCAAATTTTTTTTAGAGTTATTGATCTAGTACTTCCAACGATAATAAAATAAGTGACGCTAAAAACTTTGAATATTTGAAATAGTGTGATTGCAAAAAAGCCCCACCAGAGCATATTATCTAGGTATAATATTTTGGTATTCACTGTACAATTTCATATCTTATAAATCACATTTTTGCCAGTGTTGAGCCGGAATAGGAAAATCACTATATCGTATATAATATTATTTTACCTCTTATATTTCTTCTCAATGATGATGACAGGCTTAAATAACATGTAAAGATTATGCGCATTATTTAAGATTTGCATTCTTTATTTATTGGGTGCTACAATATAACTGTTCAATGAAAGATTAAATATAATTTGCATTGTCCAAGGGACTGGTCTAACTTTAGAAAGTATTATAATGATAATATGTAATGCTACCTTTTTAAAATACGGAAAGGATCAAGATGATACACGCTGTCTGTTCATCCATCTGTCTGTCCCACATTAAGGGGCTCTATTTTTTAACAAACATAGATTGGTTGACATTTTTACACAATTCATGACTATCATGGTGGATTCTGGGAAAGTCATAGAAAAACAAACGTAGACTTTATAAGAAAACATTTTGATGTGTTTTGTATAAGTGTCAATCGTATGTATAAGGTTAATTCTTACGTAAAACAACAGATGATTCCACTGATTCTTCTATAAATATTTTTTGGAAAATCTTATTGAAATAGACATTATTATCGATACAGAGGCCGAATCTATAGTTTTTAGAATTTTTGTCTGTCTGTCTGTCTGTCTGTTGCCGCATCACAGAAAAACGACTTGAGGGATTTTCATGAAATTTGGTATGGTGATTGCTGGTTATCCGGGTCAACATATAGGATATTTTTTACTGCAGGCAAATATCTCATTTCTGAGAAAAAATACAAAAACTGCTTTGTAAGAGTATACCTATTAATATGTAAAACCTAAGAATTTTCTTTTTGGTCATCTGAACGCTGGCGGAGCCGCGGGCAATGCTAGTTTTATCAATATGTTATAAGCATGATAAAATTCAGAATATGATAACGGCGTTATGATGAGTAACCTCCTTTGATTTTTAGGTCAAATTCAAAGTGAATTTCGTTCAGATCGTGATGGTAAACCGTTCATCGTTAACACGCAACCGGTCAATAATGGGTTTTAGCACCTGTTTTCATTTAATCTACTAATGTCGATGCTATTTAAGGTCAATCATAAATCTATCACCTATCTATTTCGTGTATTATAAATCTTTCTTCCAATTGTGATGAAACTTGGTATTTGTTGTATGCACATCGGAATATATTCTGGCAGAATACCATCAACTAAATTCAATAGTTTGAGATTTATTAATCTGATATACGTATATACCTCATTGTCAATGCATTTATGCTAGTGTGTCACAAACCTAACACCTGGGAGAAGCCATAAGAGTGATTTTTATTTTATTCTGATACTATTTTGAATTTTATAATGACATTTTAAACGAAATTTTCATGACAATTATCGTATCACAGTGGAACACTAACCTTATTTAATAGTTACCTTCATGCTACGTAGCGACAATATATTAACAAGTATTTATCATTCAAGTTATTCTATATTAGTAAAGTACACGAGACTTTCGCGGCATTTTTTTTATTTTATCATCACATTGAATGATTACCAACGTCATTTACATAAATGGTGGAGGCCGCATGAATAAAACATTGGCTTGGCGCGAACTCAGCAATCCGCCATGTTAGTTTGAACATTGCCGCGACAATTTAAAAATATGTGAATTTGTTTTTTTTTATTTGTAATAACGGAGCCAGGAATCCATGTGCTTTTGCATTTAGCTTTTTCTGGTAGACGTTGTTATATTTTCTTTAAAAAGTTAAGAATCACTATAATCTATACATACCTATAATAAAATTCTAACTGAGTTATCTATCTGTAGGTACATTCAATATTTTTTTCTAAAAATCTTATTGATACTGTCATTATAATCGATACAGAGGCTGAATCTAAAGTTTTTAAAATTTTTGTCTGTCTGTCTGGGAACGCATCACGAGAAAATCACTAGACAGATTTTGATGAAATTTGGTATGATGATAGCTGGTTATCCGGGTCAACATATAAGATACTTTTTACTACGTCGCTAGTATTATATAAAAAAAGTATTTTCGCTAGTATTTAAGATATAAAAAAGGCGATATTGTAAGCTTTCTCTAATAAAATTAGAATATAAAAATAATAACAGTTTATACAGTAACGGAAATGACGTCCCTAATGCAAAGGAAGTCTAAATGTTACCAAATAAAGTAATAATAGTATGGTGATATACCTCAATGTAATGTGTATGTTTTGTTTTATAACTTTTGTTTAAAGCAAAAAAAAAACATTTTAAGTAGGTATTATATTTACATAGGTATTTTAGGTAGTTATTTTCATTTCATTTGTACTTTTATAATCTAAACAGGTTTATTTAACCAATTCATCAAACTAATATATGTGTGTATTCATTTGAAACTGCAAGTAACTAACAGATAATCTTTGGTTAATTAAAATGGTTCAAAATAAAAAAAAAACATGTTCCCACTTGATTTACATTTCAAAATAGTAATACCTACTTAAGAAGATATTATCAACAATAATTTAAAATATAGGTACTTTGCAAGTGCCACTATGAGAAATATCTCTCTCAAGCAAATTCGAAAACTTTATTCAATGAAATTAAGGCATTAAACAGCGGAAGCGTTGAGTGAACCGCTTTCCGGTGACCTGAGACGAAAATTGCTTCTTTTTTAATATTTTGGGTGCCATACGATTTAACAGTACTAACACTAATGTCACTTTTTAGTTAAATGTAGAGAATTATTGTTAAATATTATTATTAGTGGCTGCGGTTTTAACGTAAAAAAGTTTTCTTTGTATAATGGAGAAGTTTGCTTTGTTTTGTTGGAAAAATTTCCGTGACTTACAATATGACAATATGTACGTAGAATAAATATGTATTTTGTTATCTTACTATTGTAATATTTTATTAAAAACTGTTGTAATACGTTTACGCCATACGTCTTATTTAAATTTCGATATTTAAAATGTATAGCTAAGCTAGCTAGCTCTTTTTAAGATGTCAAATCTAATATCACAATAAATAACAAAATCATTATAACGAATATTTTAGATTATAATGAAATTCTTTTGAACAATTTATGATGTTATGAGAAAAAAAAATTGAGCATACCAGTAGACTCAACATTTTTTATTTAAAGATTACTGGATACAAATAATTTTTTCTCTCAGTAATTACTAACATCAATAGATATGAAGATAGGTATACTCGTATTTGGAAGCTAAAATTAGGTATACAAAAAAACTAAGCCATGATTTTATTTTGCAGAAAATTACTTTAAATCGTACCACATCGTTCTAAAAGCACCATTTTGTTCGCGATAAGATCTATGTGATGTAAATTTGCAACATTTTTATATATCTCAAAGATCTTTCGCAGCTCAGGTTGGTCCCTCTGGTATTCCTAATGTCAGAACAAACACTATATAAACGATATAAAGTCATTTATCATTAACTTGCGATTCACTTCACGCGAGTGATAACAAACGGCTTCCTTCCTTGAAAAAATGATGAATTATAGCTTTTTTACAATTGATTTCAAGACTGTTATTGTCAAACGTAGGTCATATTCTAGCTCATCACTTTCTTTTTGGATTTACATCTTAATTGTAGTTATTTTAGTCTTTATTTTATTTAAGCATTTTTTTTGGTTCATTATAAGCTTTGGTAATACAAAAATTTATTGAATGATTTTCAACATCATACCTCTTTAACGCGAGTTACTAATATTATTTATTATACATAATATTTCTATTGAATTATTGTATATCTTTTAAATAATTGAGTTTAAGTCCAAAAATCAAATGTTTCTTCAAAGTAAATAATTCATTGGCAAAAGAAGCAGGCATTGACGTTTTTAAGTTACTCTCCCACCGGTTTTAACAATATGTACCTAGTTATTTAATTTGCTTGTTTCAATTTTTGATTAAGAATTCAATTTAGAATATCTTTTTTCTTTTTTTTTTCTTTTTGTCTTTTTTTCCTACTATATTATTTTTTGTAATGTAAATTGTAGATAAGAGTGTTTTTAAAAAACAAAAAATAACGCAATATCTTTAAAGTGCACGTGAATTTAATATAACCAGTTTGTTAAATTTCAACTTACCTAAAGAAGTCATTCCTACAGAATAGCTTGTTGTCTCTAGAGTAGCACTTATCGGCAAGAGGTGCGCGGCAGTCCGCACACCGTACGCAGGCCGCATGCCAAGCCCGCTCTAGTACATGTAAGAGGAACTTGTCCAGAATAGGCTTCTCGCAGCCGGCGCAAGCCATGGCGCCGCCTGCCTCGCCCCTTCCTATGGACAAGGAAATACATATTATAAGCCTTCTATTCTATGAGTTTTAGACATTACCATTTTGTAATAATACTACTACGGGGTTTAAGTCCCGTGGTGTTATTATTATATAATTGCCATTATATATAAATGTCTCGAGTGTTCCCATAACTGTATGCTTATACCCTTAGTACTTTCATGTAACTCGATAGCTGAAGACGCAAGATAATTCTAATTAGTTGAATGAAATGAAATACGATCGCGAATTCAGCTGTAGGGTTACATAAAAGTTCTTACAAAATAGCTCTACTGAGCATAATTTCAATCAGACCGGATATATGTATGTTAGTATAAATACTTAAACATTCGTATGTAGTGTCAATGATACTATTTTCTAAAGAAACACAGGCAGAAGAAAAATTATAATAAAGAAAATATTTGTATAGAAGACATGCATGACACCATGCGAAGAGTAAGCCAACAGCCTCCTTCACCGTTCAGCATATAAATTTTGGTAATATATCTAATATTTACGTAAAACTATAGGTAGGTAACCTTTTAACGTTTAGTATAGATTTCTCAGAGATCAGGTATTTTCCCCCAGAAAAAGTATTCTATATGTTGACCCGGATAACCAAGTATCATAATACCAAACTTCATCAAAATCTGTCCAGTGGTTTTCTCGTGATGCGGTCACAGACAGACAAAAAATTTAAAAACTATAGATTCGGCCTCTGTGTCGATAATAATGACCATTTCAATAAGATTTTCAAAAAAATATTTAATGTAGAGATTGGACTCAGTCAAAATTTATACAATTTTCAAATAAATTCAAAAATTGTAAATCTACTGTAAAATATCCTTTATTCTTCAAAGTAAGTAAGCGATATGTATGGCAAAATCGAGAATCGTAGTATAAACAGCAAAACTCGCTACTATTTTTGACTCTGACATTTTTTCACTATATTATAATTCTTTCGTGTGAGCATAAAATTTGTTTGTTTGTACCTTTACAGGCAATAATTTCAGAAATTTAGGGAACCGATTATAATTTTATAGTTAGAACTCATTTACCTAGCTTTGTTTTTTATCAATGCAGGTACCAACTAAGCACGCGAAGTGGAGGGTATTTAATAGTTAAATATACATATTATAAAATACTAGCATTGCCCGCGGCTCCGCCCGCGTTCAGATGACCAAAAACTAAATTCTTAGGTGTTACATATTAGTATACTCTTACATTGCAGTTTTTGTATTTTTCCTCAGAAATAAGATATTTTCCCGCGGTAAAAAGTATCCTAGGATCGCGCGCTACATCGCCCGGTTTATATAGCTTGAGCAGGCGGTCGAGCGATGCGGGGCAGAGGGGATGGACTCGCCGTAGGCATCTCAATGCTCGCCAAGCATTAAAAATGTTTCGCTACTAATTACTTCTAACAACGATATCTCAAAAACTATTCATCTGATTGATTTAGTGTAAAGAGCAATTTTAATCTGCATTAAATGACTAAGCTAACTAAAATATTCATTTGGATAAGGATTAATACCGAACTAAAGAAAATAACTTTGAAAATAACGTAATGTTTTTAATTAAAAATGTTAACATAAAAGTGGTTATTGTAAGTCAACCGTAAGAGATAGAGATATGCTATCGCGGACTTTTTTGTAGCATTTTTATAGATTTTGAATTCTCTAGTACATTACTTAACTGTATCTTTGCTAGTTTACGCGGCGTTCGCGTGGAAAGTTCCCATTTGGCGAGATTTTTTGCGACCTCTTCAACATTTGTCGCCGTATTTCAGCTAATTTACATAAAAGCATAATAAATTATATACCTAAACCTTCCTCAAGAATTACTCTTTCTATTGTTGAAAACCGTATAAAAATCCGTTCAGTAGTTTTCGAGTTTATCGCGTACAGACAGACAGGAGGACAGAAAGACGCGGCCGGGGGACTTATTTTTATAATAAGTATAGATACTTATTTTTTATGAATGCGAAATTACCATAATTTATCTTAGCATTCTATTACACTAATTACTAAATACTAGTGGGCTTGCTATAAAAGTTCAACTGTATAAAACGTGTTCAATAAAACTACCTATGGATATATAATTTATTAGTTTAATTTTACAAAATATTTAATCTAGCTAAAGCACTGATCAAATACTACAATAAATTTATCACATGGTTTTATTTTAATCTTAATAACGTCAATTTAAGCGAATATTTTATGAGTTATTATTTTTATTGAGAAATGTAGTAAACTGAATACGGACTTATATAATAGTGGCACTAGTTAATATAGGTTTATTTTGATTTGAAAACTAACATAATAGGAAATATAATAACACATTATTAGGCTTTAACATAAATATAACATAAACAAAAAAGGTAAATTCGCAATTTCAAACTACCTATAAAAGTATACTAGCGTACATACTTCATTTTATCGCAAATCAGTAGCACCACGTTGGACTATAATAGGATTTTGCTTTACGATCGATAAAGCTTAGTTGAATAAAGTTTTATTAGCATACGTTATTACCGCGTACGTACCTACCCGTAGGTGCTCGCTCTTGAAAATAATGTAGCGTTACGCAGATTCGATTTCTTTATGTTATCGCTATATGAACAACAATTGCAACTTTAACAAATAGAATCCATTAGTTATACTTTCTTCGATTTGCACAAATGTTTGACATTTTAAATAAAACTATTTTTTCGGATTTTTTCGCTTTTTTTTATTTTAGGTTCCCGACGTTTCGGATGCTTTACAGCAATGATGATGATGTATTATCCCATTGTCATTGAACAATAGAAGAGAAACTTAATAAAAAAATAAAATAAAATGCAAAATTTAAAAAAAAATCTAAATTTGAGCATTCCTCTACTTACCTACTTATTCTTCTACTCTCTATTTCATACTTTACATTGCATCATACTCATAGTTTACTATAATAATAATAAATAAATAAAAAAATGTGACAACAATGTGGTCTGTAACAACTATACCTTCAAGACATGTAACACCTCAGTCTCTCCCGTGACCATGGATGCTGTAAAGCATTCGAAACGTCGGGAACCAAAAATCAAAATAAATCCGCGAAATAATCCGAAAGGAAAGTTTTATTTAAAATGTCAAATTTTCGCGTAAATCTAAGAATTATAAAAAAATGTGTACAAAATCCTGTAACACGTAATTTCGATTCGTTTAAAAACATTTTTTATTTTATTTGATATTAACTCCTTAGACTGCATACAATAAGACTATTTGACTATTAACTGCAATATAATTTTTAAAGTAAGGCAATAAGGTAAGAATGTGTGTGGTAAACATGTCTATTCTAAATTAACTTCTCTTTTTCGTCTTTTTTTTTTAAACTTGACATTAATTAGCAAAATTTATGAAGGTAGAATGTCCGATTATATCAGGCACGTTCAGTAATTTGCACGAGCGATTTCGATGGTTTTTGTCAAAGTTATAAAAATTGTATTATTTCATTTTATTTAAAGAATTTTCGTAATAATTTATCTTAATTTTATTTGGTGTATCACAATTTAATAATTTAAATTTATAAAAATAAAAATTACATACAACCAAGATGGTATAAAAATAATCTTCGTCTGTCTGTTTGTGCTGGAAAAAAAAGAAAACCGCCTTTGCCTATCTATCTATACTTATTATAAAAATAAGTCCCCCGGCCGCGTCTTTCTGTCCTCCTGTCTGTCCTCCTGTCTGTCTGTACGCGATAAACTCGAAAACTACTGAACGGATTTTTATACGGTTTTCAACAATAGAAAGAGTAATTCTTGAGGAAGGTTTAGGTATATAATTTATTATGCTTTTATGTAAATTAGCTGAAATACGGCGACAAATGTTGAAGAGGTCGCAAAAAATCTCGCCAAATGGGAACTTTCCACGCGAACGCCGCGTAAACTAGCAAAGATACAGTTAAGTAATGTACTAGAGAATTCAAAATCTATAAAAATGCTACAAAAAAGTCCGCGATAGCATATCTCTATCTCTTACGGTTGACTTACAATAACCACTTTTATGTTAACATTTTTAATTAAAAACATTACGTTATTTTCAAAGTTATTTTCTTTAGTTCGGTATTAATCCTTATCCAAATGAATATTTTAGTTAGCTTAGTCATTTAATGCAGATTAAAATTGCTCTTTACACTAAATCAATCAGATGAATAGTTTTTGAGATATCGTTGTTAGAAGTAATTAGTAGCGAAACATTTTTAATGCTTGGCGAGCATTGAGATGCCTACGGCGAGTCCATCCCCTCTGCCCCGCATCGCTCGACCGCCTGCTCAAGCTATATAAACCGGGCGATGTAGCGCGCGATCCTAGGATACTTTTTACCGCGGGAAAATATCTTATTTCTGAGGAAAAATACAAAAACTGCAATGTAAGAGTATACTAATATGTAACACCTAAGAATTTAGTTTTTGGTCATCTGAACGCGGGCGGAGCCGCGGGCAATGCTAGTGTTAATATAAACAGCGTAAAGCGAATGTACTTATGTGGAAATGAATGTTTGTCTTCCAATTACGGAAAAACCACTGAACCAATTTGCGAAGGATCCGGGCGCACTAATAAGCTTTGTACTACTCATTATCTTACCGCAACAGGTGGTTACATACATTGTTTAACACATGCTTATATTATTTCCATGCAAAAATAATATAACTATTTATGACTCGGTTTTTATGAAGATACCGCATCGGTTATAGGTATTATTATGGTGGGGTCACATAGGTAATACACTCCGTTAGAAATATAGTAGGCATATTTGGATGTAGTTAAGCAAAATAGATCCAACCAAAAAACTTACTTTTGAGAAAGTAGTAGTTTTAGTAAAATTGGTATATATCAAAATAACAAAACTGTAGTTTTTTTTTTTAAATTGCTCTTAAATATTGGGTATTTTATCTAGTTTCTGTATTATATAAGTCGATATGTAGGTAGGCCTTTTATGACAGTAACTCAAAAAACGCTTTTCGTGGGCTGGGCTATTTGGTACTCAAAAGATAATGAAGCACTTGCATTATAAATCGTTATATTATTAGTTTTGGATATCACAATAATATCTGTATATAATAATAGATATAAGTATTTGTTACAATGTTAACATACTTCTATTAAGCAAACCAAAAATTGTTTTGCGTAAAATTCAAATATCGAGTCCTTTATCTAAATATACAAAATTCCCGGGTCACGATGTTGGTCCGTGATGAACTCCGAAACTACTTATCCGATCTTAATGTATTTTTTAAATGTGATTTGTTCCAAATTAAAAGATAGGATGGTTCCTATCCCGATTATTTCCTGTTATTCTTTTTCTTTGCAAAATTAATAATTTTCATATTGAACGAATTATAAGTGTGCCACAGCAACGCGTGGCCGAGGTTACTAGTCCATACTATATTACTATATAATATTATAAATGTGAAAGTGTGTTTGTTTGTTTGTTTGTTTGTTTGTTTGTTTGTTTGTTTGTTGGTCTGTCTTTCTTTTACGTCGAAACGGCTTGACGGATTGGCGTGATTTTTTGTGTGAAGATAATTGGAGGACTGGAGAGTGACATAGGGTACGTTTATTTTTTATCTTTTTCCCATGGGAAAATACATTACAATCCAAAAAAAATATTTATGATTAGAATTACTTGAAACTATAAATGCTCTTCAATATAATTAATTAAATAAATGTTTTAGCATTTTTCGAAATTCATCCCATAAGGGGGTAAAATAGCGGATAAAAGTTAGTATGAAACCTCCCATTTTAGAGTTTTTTTGTGTTTTTATAAATAAATATAATAAATTTCTGCTATGCCTAAAGAAATCGTAAAACTATTAAAAAAATAGATGAGTTATAACTAATCTATCTAAAAACAATGTAGGTAGTTCTAAACTAATCGTTTTAGCAGGACATGAGACCTAGTCTACCTGCCCTTTACGCTAAGATCAGATAATATTTTGGTAAAAAATTACTAGTGAATGACCAGTTTCAAAAAATCTTGAGCATGATACAAACGTTCAAAATAACAGCTTTACATCTTAAGTGATGCTTAAGAGTCGAACTATATGAATAAAACCAAAAGCCGATTACGTTGAGTGAATCTCTTATAATCCGCAAAATCATTGTATTTTAATTTTTTTAAAGATTTCGTTAGCTGTGCTTAAAATATTAAAAAAGTTTACCAAAGATTTGCTTAAAGAATATTTTACTTTCTACGTTTAGTTCTTATTATTTATAACTTTATTTTAGTAAGTTTGTATCTACCTTTAACTTATTTTTAGATATAGTTATTAAAATATGGATATGAAGGATTGAACTCTTTTTTAATTAATTTAAATAAAAAGTATTTATATACTTTTATTTATCTACATATAACATTTACAGCACATAACGTTTTTTAAATTATACAATTACCTAATATTTACGTTAAAATAAGTACCTATACCTATTAAATTTTACATTCGTGATTTTACTTTTCTTTGACAGTCTCCGTAACAATTTACAATCCTTCACTGAAATTTAATATAATAATTTTAGCAATGTTAACTATTTAACTAATAAATGTTAGTCACTTTTGTGGATAGCAACGATTCGCTGCATAATTACATATATTTCTTTCATTATTTTTCAAAAGACACGTCATTACATTAAAAGCTTATTTGGAGCTTTTTCTACAATCGGTTACTTTTGTACCTGTATATCTACTACAAGAGTAACGGTGCTCATAGCCGATGAAGTTTTAGATAAAAATATATTATCAAGCGTATCTTACCTATTTGTATTTACACGATATATTTTAATCTATAACATTCGATTCGAATATTTTGTTATATACTGTTAATAAAGTTGAATGAACACATTTTTATTTATAATAGGTACTCTAATGTGATTGGTTTATAAATTTCCCTACCTATAGGTACGTAGGTAGGTATAACTACATACCTACCTATAGGTAAGTATTCACATACAAATAGCATAGGTTACAAATAAATAACGCTTTCAAGAATATTTCATTGACATATGTAATATCTTTTTAATGTTGACTCTATCACAAGCTTAAAATAAGATAAATTTGAAAGTGTTGATAAATGTGCAAGAAATTTTTATAAGTATTTTCTATGTATGTATTTATAAGCTCTAGATTTAAGCTTTTTAATCTTTTATCACTTTCCTGCCTTGTTTTAATCTCTATATCATCTATGTAGTTGTATCTATCACTATTTTTATAGGTTGTTGAATTTATGTACATAATATAATTTATGAAACATTCAGAAAATTATAAAAACATGCTCTTTAATTTGATCTGACTCTACATTACATTACTTATAAAAACCATATTTCTATTATTATTATAATTAATTTGGTATATATCTACATATATTTTTTAAATTTATTGAAAAATTATTATAATTATTATCTGTATAGATATAGTAACATATAAGTTGCAATTTTAATGAGAATACATAGCGCCGTGAACATAGGCCTAAAATGTCTAACTTTACTGTTATATTACAATAATTTCTTCATTCATTAGAATAAAATAAATATAATTATGTTTGTTTTCAATATAATATATGAGATCATTATTCAAAATGAATAATTTTCAATAGCAAGGTAGGTGAATACTACATATGTGTGGGTACAATAAATAAGTCAAACCTATAGATGTATCAAGTACCCTTTCTGTATGGTTTTGATATGCTCTATATATAATATATCTATTAGGCATATTCATTCTCACTTTACAAGCATGTAAAGCCTTAGAGTGAAATTTAGACTTTTGCCTAAAAAAATCATGCATAACACTAAAATTACCAAATTCACTCTCAATTTCCGTTATAAATAAACATAATAATTGAAAAAAAAAACAAACGAAAACAACCTCCATACGTTGGCATTGCTGCATACAAAGTTCTTGGGGGAAACACAAAAAATTCTATTTTCAAAATCCTATCACGGGACACTGACTTTTACCAATGTGGTGCTGGTGGAAGGGGGCATGTGCCCCCCGTCCTGCGGCAAGGAATCCCGCCACTTCGACACCCTGACACGACACTGCACAGACACACCGCGACACGCGCGGAGCGACACAACACGCGCGACAGCTAGACGCGTACTGATCCCTCAACCATCGCTCACCCACGGCTTTTCCACCACAATACACAATAGACAAAGACGGCAATACAAACCGTCAACAGGCGGGAAAGAGACAGCGATAGTAGCTATTGCGGGGCGTGGTCGCAATCACCAGCCAGTAGGAGTCAGGGGGTGGCGCCTACACTTTTCTACTTTTTTCCGTGCGTGTACGATGGTAGTGGTTCGTTTTGTGGGACACGTGCGTCAGTAAATTTAAATTGCCTGGATGGTAGCTGTGTAATTATAGCCTGGATTTTTCGGCTCTAGGTCCGTCTTTTATGGTGTTTTGACGGGGCGTTAGATGTGCGTTGCCCGCCTTCAAGAGTCGCTCTTTATTTTTCCTATAGGTACTACGCGCGTGCTTATTTCAAACGTATCTTACGTATCTACTTATGGATATGTTTTTTTATCAAAGACTCACTTTATATAATACTTTTACTTATTATGTACCTCAATGCGATAAATAAGTTACTTAGAAATATACTTACTCTATTTTGCTTTTGTTTGTGTAAATGCTTGTTTTTTTTGTATATTAGATGCATAGATATAAAATCATAAAAATTGGTTTATTTAGGGATATATAAGTAATATTATTCTGTCTTACTGTATACTAAGTCTCAGTAACAGCCCGGAGTTGGGAAGTTGGCGGCGTTTCACCCCCGTGCCTCGGAGAGCACGTAAAGCTGTCGGTCCTGCGCCTTAACTCTCACCGGTCGTGTCGAGTGGTCGTCCCACCGGAGTATGAGAGTGATAGGAATAGAGAGTGTACTTGTGTCTGCGCGTACACTTGAGCACTATAATATCTCCTGCGCAGTTGGCTAGTCTCAATGAGAATGGCCGCCGTAGCCGGAATCGGCTAGGAGAACATCATTATTCTGTAGGTGGGAACTTACAACAAATTACCTTCTACATAGGTATATGATTTTTTTTATTGGAGGTTAATTTGAGGAATAAGAGTCTTTTTGCCTTTATCCCGCTTTAAATCTTAGGACATACTAACTGAAAACCAGTTCTGCTCGAGATTTCAATCTCAGCAGTAGGTAGGTATTAGTTAAGTTACTACCTTTTGCTATACCTACGATAGATTTACGTTAGCCCAAAAATTTTAAGAATTGTTATAACTTTTTATGGCAACAAATAACGTTTTATTTATTTATTCATTTAAACATAATAAATTAATTTTAAAACACCTCTCTATATAATTTTTACATTTATATATTATTCATAAAACTTAATACCCTGCCTAATATTCTAAACAAATAAGTAATTGTAGGTACAGAAATTTATAGCCTAATTTAGTTTAATAGAATTTGACCTACATATAGGGTAAAACCCGGATATTTGCCTCAGTGGGATACATGCCCCGGTTATCAATACACTATGTTAGAGATGTCACTGGCATTAGCACTCTTCTATAATTTGAAGCGACTTTCCCACAGGCCTTAATGCCATGCCAGTAGTAGGACAGGATGCACGAGTTTTGTCCGCAAGATGTTGACGTTGACAATTTCATATAATGAGTCTTCTATCCCCGCATGAGGCAAGGGATCTACCAAAGCATTTTTAACGCGAGGCAACTATCCCTTTTTTTAGAGGTTAAAAAAACTTTTTAACAAAAAAATAAAAACCGACTTCAAACAAAAGCACTAAAAAGTAAACAATAACTGATTGGTAGCTTTCATTTACTATACATACCTAATCAAATATTTTCGAAGTCGGTATGCTTTGCTTTGTATGGGCTGGCACCGATTTCGAAAATATTTGATTAGGTATGTATTTAATAGGTAGGCTTTAATTACTTAGACAAAGCACACCGGCTTCGAAAATATTTGATTAGGTATGTATAGTAAATGAAAGCTACCAATCAGTTATTTTTTACTTTTTAGTGTTTTTGTTTGAAGTCGGTTTTTATTTTTTTGTTAAAAAGTTTTTATTTTTCCTTTTTTAGTGTAGACAGCAGTAGCAAAGTAAGAATTCTAACGTGTTAGGCTTGTCAAATCAAACAAAATAAGCCCAAACTCAGAGTATCTACTATTAGTCGTTAAAGAGTTCCACCTATCTACCTTCTGGCCTTACTATCAGATCAGGTCAACAATACCGAACCACTGTACTATCAACGGAAATAGAAACACTTGCAAAGTTTCAAGTCAATATGACAATTAGAAGTAGGTTAAATTCAAATCATTCGCTATTTTTCCACCCTTAGGTGTGGTATTTTTTTTTGAAATTTAAATGGGACCAATCTGGAAGTATACACTTTCAAACAACACAAAAATTGTCCAAATCGGTTAATAAATGAGGGAGTTCTGAGGTAACAAACATAAAAGAAATAAAAAAAATATAGTCGAATTGAGAACCTCCTCCTTTTTGAAGTCGGTTGATAAAACAGGATTTAATGAAAAATTGATTCTGCTTAAAAAATAAGACCCATTAAAAGATTAAAGACCAATGTTTTAATATACACTGAGCATGTTGTACGAAGGTAATTCCCAAGGAGGGTTGACGTCAGGCAGGCGGCCGGTCGTAAAACTTTTGCCAAATCCTATCAGCAGTACACTGAAGATGTACTGCACCGACCCCAAGTGATTTGGGAAATGGGCAGGGAGAAGAAGAAGAAGATGTTGTACGAAGGTACGTAATTTTTATGGAATTGAAGATTTTCAAAAAGTAGTACCATCCGGCTTTTCCCCTAGATGATGATGATGTTTTCCTAGCCGATTCCAGCCACGGCGACCAATCTCATTGAGACTAGCCAACTGCGCAGGAGATATTATAGTGCACAAGTGTACCTACGCGCAGACACAACGTGCACTCTCTATTCCTGTCACTCTCATACTCCGGTGGGACGACTTCTCGACACGACCAGTGAGAGTTAATGTCCCTAGATAATGTCCATAGTGTCCAGTGTATATTAATTAACTGTTAAGTGTAGGTAGGTATTTCAGTATTTAATTAGATATTTACATATTGGTAAGGTAACAGCTGTTGTAGTAAGTCTTAACAAAAAGTAATATTGAGAAACCTTTACAAAAAAGATCTTTTTTCATAGATCTTAACTACTAGGTAGGTCCATAATAAGTGTTTAATTGTAGATGTACATTTTTCAGTCAATATTAAGCAAAACTGATTTAATTATTTGTAAATATACTAAAACAGTGTTATTATATACATAGGTATACCTAAATCCAGAAACCCTTATAAATTTACAGCATGGAAGTACTAAGTTACTTACGGTCGTAAAACTTTTGCCAAATCCTATCAGCAGTACAGAAGATGTGCTGCGCTGACCCCAAGTGTTTGGGAAATGGGCAGGGAGAAGAAGAAGAAGTACTAAGTTACTTAGAAAAACCATCTTTTGATACCTATCTTGAACTTAACTCTATTACTTCTATTGATTACCTATATTTTTACTCGTAATATCTATACTTTACATTGACTTAGAATGATGATTTTGATTTGATTTAAAAGGAAAAAAATATTATTGTATTTTAAATATCATGTAGCAATAGGTATAGGAACTTGGGCTGAGACTGGTTTAGCGTTGTACTGGGATCTCTGAAGACAAGCATTAGAGCTGCTCAAGTTTTAAATGGTAACATTCTCACATAACCTGATCTTGTTTCAACTAAAAAAAAAGATCTTAAAAAGCCCTCAGTAAGTAAAGAAATAACAATAAAAAGCAAAGTTAGATTTCAATCCGATTCATCATGTCCAATTTATATATAAAAGAAAAGTAAGAAGTGTATTTTGCTAAAAAATATGGAGTTTATTTTGTTCGAATGGTTAGCCATTCCCAACGTTTAGTTGGTTTAAATATCTCAGAAAGCCCTTATTTCTTGTTTTTTATTGAAGTCATTTTACTGTATGATTATTTTTTACAATTTTACACTTTTACACCAAAAGTACTAAAATTAAATAATAAGATTGAATTTTTTTAAATATATTTTAAGAAGATGAAAGAAACAATTTTTCTCATAACCATATTTGAAAAATATAGTTAAAGCTTTGAAAATATCTGTTTATAAATATACCTAAATCGATAATAGACAAATATAAAAAAAAATGATTACCTACTATTGTATAAAAAAATACAGACGAAAAAAACTTCAACTTTTTAAAGTGGTTATAAAGAAAAAGATTCTGTTAATTGCGTTATGGCGTTATGGCATGTACCTACATCCAATTTACAACTAATTTACATACAAAATAGGGATAAGTGATAATAATGATGCATAGTTTATCGTCATTTACCTATACTTTTCCAAGTTTTTTTTAGTTTTAAATACATTTCAAGATTTCTTATTCTAAAAGTAGTACCTAGTATATACCTATTATACCCACAATTAATATCTGATACAAAAAAATAAATTCTCTCAGAATCCTTAATTAAAGTCAAAATTCCTATTTGATTTTGTATAAGAAGATGTATACATTAAATTTAATAGATTAAATATAAATAAATAGATTAAGTAATCATAGATTTGGATTCTATTATATAAAATAATAGTATCGGTCACATTTTTTTTCATACATATTTACAAGACGATCATTTGAAGTGGAGGTGAAATAAACATAAAATATTCTCATTTTAATTAGTAAGAGCTGAAACTATGTTATATTTTCTTTAAAATATAAGTAATAAATAAAAAAATAGTTTAGTATAAAATATTACTAATATTAATTAATAGGTATTTATGTTGTCAACTGTACACGAATTGATAGAATATAGAAGGATAGAAAATAATAGTGACATCTATCGAAGTTTTCTATAACTGTTAAAGCGCCATCTGTAAAAAAGTGAGAACTTTAAATTGAAAAAAATAAAGCTAAACAGCCTTACTAGATGGCGCTGTATTTTAAAATTTATTATTGGCATTGTATCACGTTTTGTTGAAGTTTGTGTAACAAAATATACAAAATCGATCCCAAAAACTCTAAGTCTACTTTTAAATAAACTCTAAGTGAAATAAATCCAAAAAAAAAATCTTTAGCCGTTTTCGCAATTAGATAATCAAGTTGTATTGCATAGTCACAGATGGCGCTTTTAATTTTTGTGATATTGTTCATCATATGGGTTATTAAAAAGCTGCAGTTGATGTCACTAAAATTTGTTTTATTAAATTTTTCAGGATAATTTTGCTATATTTATCAAATTTTAGTTTACACATGTATCATTAGCGGATTAACGACATTCATGATCTATTCAAGCGAACAAAATGTCAAAAGTAATCCAAGAGTAGCTCGAATTACATAGTGCAGTCCAATTTCTTTGTATGGGATGGAGCATCTGCACTAATATTATAGTAATAAGTCATTTGTGTTAATATATCATATAGACAAAGAGTAGTAGATGGTAATGAATAATTTCATATTTTTAAGCCGTCGCGTCGTTCTAAAAAGAAATCAAAAATAAGTCACAGAATTTAACTTATAGTTATTTTATAATTTACATATATTATGTACATATGTATAATAAATAAACATTGGACAATTAATGTGAAAATTACTAACGAAATGAGGCATTCTGTAACATAAAATAACCTGATTAACTTACATTATGTTGTAAGATTAAATTTAAAATATCTCTCCACCTTAAACAAGTTTATATTTTATAGTAATTCCATGAAATACAAAATTATTTTTGCTTTTACTAATTAAAAATAACCTTCGTTGAAAAATTTTTAGAAGGTCAATTTATTTTTAGAAGTTTCCACTATTTATTTTAAAAGTTAAAGGGGGAGAAAAATGATACACACTTAATATTTTGGGAGCATAGAAGTCCGAAATAAAAAAAAACAATTATGTATTGAGAAAATAACTTGTTTTAAATATCACAAATAGGAACACACAGATGTACTATTTAATAAAAACTTGCACAAGAACAGTTACAATTAAAAACTTACAAAGTCACTTAGAAAGCTGATATTTAAAAAAAAATTGCGGATATTTTTGGGGCTTTATTTTTCCTGCTAATACAATACAATAAAATCACAAAATAATCCGATAAAACAATTTTACTTCAAATTTTCAAATATTCGTATAAATCTAAGAAAGTATTATGAAAATCAGTCATTAAAAACGAGTACAAGAAATACACTTTACACAATTATCACAATCATGTTGAAATTTTTCCTATTTCTATCATTTATTATTTATCAAAAAAAACCATTTTCTAAAGAAAACTCCACACACACACACACACAAAAGACAACTTACCAACCTTAAACTAAATTGAAATGCTTCATCGTTAAATTTAAGGCAAATTATTATAATTAAATATTACAATTTATGTATATTAAGTAATAACAAGCCAACTGCATATCTTACTAATATTATAAATGTGAAAGTTTAATTAGATGTTTGGATGTTTGTTACTCTTTCACGCCAGAACGACTAAACGGATCTGGACGAAATTTGGCACTGAGATAGATTATAGTCTGGAATAACACACAGGCTACTTTTTATCGCGGAAAAATGTACGGTTTCCGTAGGATAGATTTGTTTTTGTTTTTCTAGAGGCGAACGTGAGCGAAGCGAACGTGAGCCGCTAGTACGTAAATAAAAGTAAGATATTAATATTAACATATTTGTATGTTTGTATCAATTAGGACTACAAGTTTATTTTATTCAGATGACAATAAAATAATTTGGTACTAACGAACTCACTTGATAGGTATAAGTAGGTGGAGCTATCAATACATATTACATAATCTTTAATACCAGTATGTATACTCTACCTTTTTGTTAGACTCGTTTAATTAGCTTTAAAATTTCTAATATACTGTTCTCGCTGGGTGTTTTTAGTAAATGATTACTATTATATATAAAAATATTTTTTTGATTAAATAAAGAGAAAAAACTAATATTTAATGGAGTTTATAATACTAATAATGGTATTTAAGTATTATATTAAATATATCATATTTTAGATATTTTCATATATTATCCGAATCTTTCGACTTTCCCTTGCATCAAAAAGTTACACTTAGTTTATTTACATAAAAAAATATAATATGCTGTCACTACAATACTTTAATAGTACATTTATCACATAGTAAAGCACATATTAATTCTTTATATGTAGTATACCTTGCGCATATGTTATAATATCTTAATTATTCGTATAGTTAGATCATGACTAAGTATTACTTTTATTAACAAATAATAATATAAATGACAAAATATATATATTTTTTATAATTACATACTCTCAGCAAGACTCGCAGCAACTATAGCATCTATGTTGTATTTTTGTAAAACCTGCCACTTAAAAATCTCTACTTTGATAACCCCCCTCTAAAAGCCTTATAGAAAGCACTTAGTTTCACTCAAAAAACCCTAATATTAATTATGTTATCGGCATGTTAAAATATTAAAAAAAAAACAATCTAACCAAATCAATCCAGTCATTCTTAAGATACGCTTACCAACGAAAAACACTTAGTTTTATATAACACCTCCAGGTAAATTTCTAAGAAATCTATTGTTAACTCTCAGCGACGTACGATAAATAGTAGCTTGTAAATTTATTAATGCAAATATATTTCATCCTCATTTTAAATAAAACTATCTTTTCTTTAGACTCTCTCTCTCTCTCTCTCTTTGGTCTCTTCCGAGGCCATGATTGCTGTAAAGCATTCAAAACCTCAGGAACCAAAAATCAAAATAAATCCACAAAAAATCAGAAAACATAGTTTCATTTAAAATGTCAAATATTCAAAATTAAATTTAAGAATGAATTACTTTATCTCCATTTCAACTGTCACTCCAATCCACTTGTCATTATAGAGTGAACAAGTAACAAACACCCAAAAACTATCACATTGGACGTTTATTGAAGTGAAAACTTCTTTAGCCGTGTTGAACGATTTTTTTAAGGGCAAAACTTAGGGGTTTGCGTCACCGACATGCTGCGTGTGACATGTGACGTGTCGACGCAGTCTAGCGCACACAACCTCATAATAGCAGCGTTTTACCTGAAATAAAACGCTTATTAAAATACTTACCTAACTGGAAGCTTTATATTGAGAGAGCATTTCCGTTTCCGTCGTTAAAGTACCAGTTGACGTAGTTTTATTCACCTTAAAACCGGCAGTAGGTGGCGCCACCTGGCGTTCGCGCGCCCTTTGAGGTTTTCTTGTAAAATCGAGCGCCATTTTAATCTCATTGGCTTTATAACCACCAGGCAGAAATTAAAGTGAAAGCTTCCAGTTAGGTAAGTATTTTAATAAGCGTTTTATTTCAGGTAAAACGCTGCTATTAAACAACTTGACCGTAACTGGAAGCTTTATATTGAGAGTCTGTTTGTTTTCGCCTGGTGGCGCAGCCTACTGTAAATTACGGCTTATTTAAATTAAAACGCCAATGTGAATAGAATAGAAGTAATTTTAATCAAAAATCAGAATTTACCATAGAATATAAGTATTATTAGATATACTAATCACATTCTACATGAAATAGATTCTACATTTTTAATTTATTGGTGAAAATAATTGTGTTACATTTCTGGATTCAATGTTTCTTACTACTTCACGTTTGTAAAATTTATGAAATGTGTTAGCTGATCGCCAATTGCCTCTAGCTAGGATATCATCGACAGAAGCATTATCCAACCAACTCTTAGAGGCGACTGCAGACCGAACACTTCCCGGTGTAGATGTGATACCAGCATCTCGGAGTATAGTTTTTACCCAGCCTGCTATTACAGTGCGTGATGCAGGTCTAGCCATTCCTCTTACTGTAATAAAAAGATTAAATGATTTTGCAGTATCGCGTCTTTCATTTAATACCGCAATAGTTTTATTTATCCAAAAAACCGGATTCAGATTACAGTTACGAGGATTCAAAAGAAACCTCCAACTGGACTGCCTATAGTTATTACTATCTGTTTTTGAACCGAATTCAGGAATTAACGTAATACTGTCAGTACTTTTTATGAGGTGTTCGGGATCAATTCTTAGCAATGTAAGGTCATGTATTCGTCGCCCAGAGCATAATAGTAATAAAATAGCCGTATGACGCGATATTTGGAATATGTTATTTAAATCTACTGTGTAACTTGCTAAAAATGATTCTAATTTATCTATATCCCAAATAGGTGCTTTAATATGTTTTGGATTTTTTAAAGCAATTGATTTCAATATATGTTTTACTAGCACGTGTGAACTTAACTTACTTGATGTTTCAGAGTTACATAACGTCGATACTACTGATTTGTGTAAGAGTATAGTATTGTAAGATAATTTATAAATTAAATATAAATCTGATAAGAATTGTGCTAACTGGGATCCATTAGGATTTATTGGATTAACGTTATTCTCTTTAGACCATGATACCCAACGATTCCAAGCTACTTCGTATGTTTTCAGAGTTGATTTACGCCAAGAACTTTTAAGCAATGATAATTGTTCAGTATTCCATGATTCTATGGCGTCAGCCCACCCCCACATTTCCAAACTTCCAAAAGAATGTGTTGAACCTGTGGTGGTGGCAGTCCCGTTGACGTATCTATTAGATGTTTGTGTAAATTGGTTAACGTTAACGGTGGTTCGAGCGCTCGAGCTTTGACGTCTGCTCGCCAGAATACTCTCTCCCAACGGGGGACAACTATTAGAAAAGCTCCTATTGACTGATTCAAATGAGCCAGTACTCTGGGAATCAGAAATGGTGGTGGAAACACCCATGCCAACGGGTAGTTCCATGGAATACTGAACGCGTCGTGAAATAAAGCTTGATGGTCTCTCAAATCTAGGGATACATAATTGTAAACTACATGAGCAGTTTTTGAGGCAAATAAGTCTATTACCGGGATTCCCCACTTCGCAAACACCATTTCCACACAGGCCGGTAATAGGTGCCACTCGGAAAGCTGACGATGACGCGATAGCTGATCGGCTTGATTGTACTTGCCTGGAATATGGTGTATTGTGAAATGTATTTGATATTGATCTAATAATGCCATAATCTGATAGGTTATGTTCATAAGGTATTTGGATTTCGTACCTCCTTCTTTCCGTAACTGAGCGACTGCTGTCTTGTTGTCGCATTGTATTAGGACTGAGCTGCCCTGCAAGGAATGAGCTTGATTCTGAAGAGCATGTAGTATGGCTAGCATCTCTTTCTGGTTGGAATGTAGATGTTTTTCCTCTAAAGACCAGTTGCCCCAGAAAGCTTGATTGTTTATTTGTGCTCCCCATGCCACGTCCGATGCATCGGTTACTAGAAAGTTCACTGGAGGGGGATAATGTAATGGTGTTGTTAACTGGCAATTCTGAATCCACCAGCTCAGTTCGCTGCACACACCCTGTGGTAGAGGGTAGGCTTTGGATGATTGTTTTGGTATTGTATTTAGAAACATTAACATTTGTCGATGTTTGAGTCGGCCCCGTGGAACTACAAAACTGGCAAAATTTAGGAGCCCTACTATTCTTTGTAATTGTTTTAGTGTCGCTTTCCCTAGCCCTAGCATCAGATTCAGTTCTTCTTTTATCATGATTATTTTTTCGTTTGGCAAAGCTTTTAGATTGATCCAGGGTTTCCAAATTATTCCTAAGTAATTTATACTCTTCTGAGGGACTAGTATTGATTTTTCCGCGTTTATGTGCCATCCTAATTTTTGTAATAATTGTATTGTGAGTTTGACATGATTTAAAAGCATTTGAGCGTTTTGATGTACTATTAGATAATCGTCCAAATATACTACTATTCTGACATGCCATCGTTCTCTGATTGTTTGAGCTATCCAATTCGTTAAAATTGAAAATGTTTTTGGAGCTGTGCTCAGGCCGAATGGGAGGCAAGTCATCTCCAATAATTCTTGATTGTAAATGAGGCGTAGAAAACGCCTTTGAGACTCTGCTATTTTTAGATGAAAGTATGCTTGAGATAAATCTATTTTGCACATCCAGTCCCGCGGTTGAAGAAAATTTGGTATTTTGTGCATGTTTATCAAGTGAAACGGTTTGGCCAATACATATTCGTTGAGTGCTTTGAGGTTGAAGATGGGTCGGGTTGTTCCGTTGGCTTTGGGTACGAGAAAGAGAGGGGAAACGAAACTGGGTGTGTATGGTACTGCCACCAGAATGCCCTGAGATTTCATTTTTTGCACTATTACAGACATTTCTTCTGAGACCGGAGTTTGAAATGGTCCTTTCAATAGGTTTGGATAAATAAGGGGTGGTTTTTGAAGAAAGGGTATGCGATAACCTTGAATCAGTTTTAAAATTACTTTTGGTGCTCCCATTTTCACCCATTCCTCGTAATAAAGCGCTAACTGACCTGCTCGAAATTGTTTCATGTCATTGTTTTTTATTGAAATTATGTCCGCCTCTGGTAATTCCGCGAGAATTTCCACGGCCTCTAATACTTCCACGACCGGGCCGCGAGCCTCTGTTTTGAAATGACCCTCTGTATTGGTTGACATTCATAGGGTATTGAGGAAGCTGATTATTATAATATATTTCACCCCGCGAGGGTGGATTGTTACAACCATGCAAGTGCATAGTAGTTTGATTATTTTGTTCATAGCAATTACATTGAGCTCCACGCGATGGAACTATAGATTTTCGTATATTCTGCCCCCGCGAGGGGCGGTGGTTCATTTGGGTTACCCTTGCTTGCGAAGGTACACTATTTTTTGGAGGCCAAAAAACTTTGCGGACCCCACCAGATTTTTCTATGGCTAAAGAAAATGCTTCGGAATCAAATAAATGCGTCGTTGATGGTGGGATTTTATTCAGAGATGTTCTTACTAAAGGGTCGCGAACCTGGCTTGTGATTGTTTCACGACGCATCTCAATACTTTCAGCCCTATGGCCACATACTAATTGTAATAGGTCGGATGAAATTTTAAACAAGTCTCCTTTTAAAAATAATTCATCCACCTTGTCACCTAAATTATCAACATTAATCGAATTAGTATTCTTTGCCCAAGAGATAAGATTTCGAATAACTTCCTGTAGTGAAATTTTTTGTTTTAGTATGCAATATGTTATAGCAGCATAAGCTTTATCGGCATACGCAAGATGACGTAAATTGTCAAACATTTTAACTTCATCATTTGTTTCCAGGTCTGTGAAACCTGGAGTATGATTATAGAGTTTTTGTGTTTCAGCGTATCTTACATCAGACCATGAGGTGCTACCAAATCTTTGGACATCCGACAACATTTTTAAATAACTGTCAGGGGTTTTAGGAACAGAAGGTTCCTTTAATTTAGTTTCTATTTCAAAAGAAAAACTATTGTCATCTCGGTCATGCTCAAAATCGAGTTGCTCGCATAGCTCTTCTTGGTCTGGATAAATTGACACACTATCTTGCCATGTTTTATCATTATTATTCAAAGAAACAATTTGTCTTAGCTCACCCATTTCCTTCAATAGTTTATCCATCCGAGGGTCTGTACGTTTAGCTCGCTTGCTTTTCTTATACTTACGTCGTCGGTTCTTTCGTCTGTCATCCGACGACGAGGATGAACTCGAAGAGCTGCTAGTAGTACTACTAACAGAGCTTTGTTTTCGTTTGCGTGCCTCTCCACTAGGACCCGCTACGGCCTGTGCCTCGAAATTACTAGGTTCCTCATTCATTTCTAGAAATCAAAGATGATGTTAAATAAAAATGTAACAATCTGTACGCCAAAAACTGGTAAAAAGGTATCCTTAGACACCTCTTTAAAATATAAAGTAAATCGTCACTTAAAAATATACCATAATAAGATATGCAAATAATTCATTATTAACGGTATAAATCGAAACAAAAACTATATATGTTAAATTGACTCACTTTTTATTTCTAAATTGAAGGTAGATACTTACTGCGTATAAAATTCGCTTTATTCGATTTATCACTTTATTGTTTATTCCAACGTTTTGGAATATTACTTTAACATTTAATAATTATTTCACAATTTTTCGCAAGACTTTAGTAGTGCTTAATGTAAATATGTTGTTCCGACGAAAACTTAAACGCCAATGAGATTAAAATGGCGCTCGATTTTACAAGAAAACCTCAAAGGGCGCGCGAACGCCAGGTGGCGCCACCTACTGCCGATTTTAAGGTGAATAAAAGTACGTCAACTGGTACTTTAACGACGGAAACGGAAATGCTCTCTCAATATAAAGCTTCCAGTTACGGTCAAGTTGTTTAATATGTTTGGGTTAATAAATAAACTATATCAAAATGTAAACAATTATTGCTCGAAGTGCCAAAGGAAGTGAAAATAATTTCTATTTTCAAACTATGAAATGTTAATAATTCGTAAAATATGTAATTCAAAAATTTAAAAATAAACACACTTATTCCAAAGTTATAATAAATGTTCACTTCAATCGGCAGTCCCAATAACTGTCTATTTTAATTTTTATTTTTGTAAATATGAGAAAGTTCGCATGTGTGTGTGTTTGTTACTCCTTCAAACTAAACACTAAAGTACTCCGTTCAGTAGACCTGGAAGAACACATTCTGTTAGGCACCTATGTTCGCAATCGAGCGAAACAGGGCTAAGTCACTAGTGTAATGATATATTTTTACTATTCATACTTATATTATAAATCCTCCTTTCCATACTTTGTATAAATGTGAAAGTGTGTTTTTTTTGTTTGTGCTTCTTTCACGTCGAAACGAAGTAACGAATTGGCGTGATTTTTTGCGTGGAGATAGTTGGAGAGCTGGCGAGTGACATAGGCTACTTTTTATCGCGGGAGATTACGTAATCCCTACGGGAAAATACGTTACAATACAATCAAAAAATATTTATGATCAGAATTACTTGAAAATTGGTATATATACTCTACAATATTGTTCAATAAAATGAAATAAATACATGTCTTAGCATTTTTCAAAATTCATCCTATAAGGGAGTAAAATAGGGGATGAAAGTTTGTATGAAACTACCATTTTAGAATTTTTTTTGTAGTTTTAGCACGAGCGAGGCCGCGGGTTCTGCTAGTATTATTTATGCCCAGGCTTGTGTGTTTCCTTCTCTCTGTGCTTTGGCGATCTCAGAACGTAGGAGCCGCTCGTGCAGCGCGGCCTCGCGCAACTCGGCCTCGCGGGACGCTATTTCTTCTATCTGTTCCTTTTGTAGGCGGAGACCGTTTAACTGTGACTGTAAAGCCGTTATAGTTGAATATGACGAGTCCTTGAGCTGGAACAAGATAAGTTATGATTTAAAAATAAATTATAAAAATGTATAGTAATAGGGAGTTTTCCGTGTTTTCATACTTTTCCACCATGATTAACACTTGTCTTACGGTGAAAAAAAAGTCGTAAGAAAACCTGCATGTCTGAGAGAACCTAGAGAGTTTTCGAAAGACGTGAGTTCGCCGACCCGCACTTGGCCAGCGTGGTGGTCTATTTCCTGATCCCCCTCGTATTAAAGAGTTAAAAAGTGCTGAATACCTATCCATAAAGAATAACATAAAATGCAAAAACACAATCTCTGAATACACAGTACAAGCCACCAGTAACAAGATAATTGAACGGGAACATTAACAAAGCGAGAATGGTTCAATTAAATACTAACCTGAGTTTCCCTCTCTTTAGCGCGTACGTCCTGATGGAAGCTGTCCATTTGTTCTAGAATCTTCTCTCGCTCTAACACGTTCTCCTTTTGCAAACGAATATTCGCCTCGATCTTCTCTTCTACTTGTTTTTTGAGAGTTTTGATAACTTCCTTCATTAGATTGCTACGCGCCTCACGTTCTTTTGCCCAGAGCTGAATAAACATTATTACAGTATAGTTAATTTAATTTTTATATTTATTATAATACATAGTTTAGTGTAGATTTTAGACATTTTCTATACAAAAAAATAAATGAAATTGTGAACAAACTCCGCGTACCCGAGCGGCTTATCCTGTTGAAAAACACCAATAGAATCCCATCAAAAGCGACAAAAGCCACATAGAAACCAATAAATATGTATTGGTTTCTATGTGGCTTTTGTCGCTTTTGATGGGATCTTATTGGAGTTTTTAAATAGGGTAAGGGATCACCTGAGTAAATCGTGGGTAAGTCGCTAGTGTCTATAGTATATGTTTCGGCAAAAAACACCCAATAAACAAATGAAGTACCTTATCTTGTTTCTCATTAATCTGCCTCGCTTCACCATCATACATTACGTCTATATTCTTCTGTCTTTGTCGCTCCCTCTCTCTGTGCTCCTCTAACTCCCGCAGCGCCGCGTCCAAGGTACGTTTGTAATTTGCACATTTTTCACGATTTGCTTCGTAGTCCTATAAGTAAAATATGTATTTTATTAGATTGACATTTATTTAAGCTTACTTTAATATTAAATTATCAATTTTAAGAAGCTACATGTATTTTAATAATCTTCTATAAACTAAAAAAAACTATCGACAGATTATAGTGGAATAAAGTTTTGTCTAAATTAATCTATTATCGGATATTTCATTTTCTCTAATATTAATCGATACAGATAAATAAAACTGAAGTGTCTGTTTGTAATATCAAAATAACAGCTTTTTACTAAATGCATATGAAAGTATATATTATGGTACTAATAAGAATACGATGTTTAAAATTTCTGTCTGCGTGTTGTCTAATTTCCAAAACGGCTGGACTGATTTTGACGGAACTTTCACCAGCAAAAAGCTGATGTAACTTAGGCTACTTTTATTTAAAAAAAAGAATTAAGATTCCACTCAATCAAATTAAAACGTATCTAGGGACGTTCCCGAGCGAAGCAAGGGTAAATCGCTAGTATTGAATAAAAAGCATGTACCTTCAAAACACTATTCCTTATTTTTGCCAACATTTGCAATTCCAGATCAATTTCATTAATGACCGCTATTACTTTTCTTTTCAAATTGTACTTATGTAGGCCCATATTAATTATATGTACATCTCTATTAGCCACAAGCTTCGCATGTTCTCTTTCTCTTTCACTTGTTAGCATTTGTAGCTCTTCCAGTATCAACCTCTCTCTTTCTTCTAGTTTTCGTAGTTTCTTGACTACCGTCTCTTTCTCGCTTAGCTCTGCTATTTGTCCTTCTAAACTATTTCTGAGCTCCTAATAGAAAAGGACAATATTTTTTTAAATTAGTTTTTTTTTTAATAGTGCCATAGAAAAATTAAAACAGAATCTCAAATAGTCTACTCTAATATTTTAACCGTAGCCTTAAGTCAGAAACATATTATAATGCTGGGATATGACATAAAAATAATTATTTTTCCTATATCCGTCGTCGCTATTTTTTTAATTTGATAAAATCCCGAAACTAGCTTCGTTTGTTCTTTAATCGGTTGAATTTCTAAAATTTGATAAGCTTTATTTCATGCGTAAAACCAAGTCTTAATTAACTAAAGTAATAGCCACTATAATGTACCAAAGTACCTTCATTTGCAGCTCCTTCTCCCGTAATCTCTCTTCTTCTATCTGTATCTGGCGACGGAGCACCTCGTCTCTCTCTTGCAGAATCTTCCGCGTGTCCTCATCTTCTTTTTTCTTCTGCATCTCTTTCTCTACTATCTGCTCCATCCTAAAATAATATAAATTGTGATTATATTAAAAAATATATAATATATACCTATAATAAAATTGTAACTAAGCCGAATCTGTACATTAAATATTTTTTGGAAAATCTTATTGAAATAGACTTTATTATAGAATTACTTTTTAGAATTTTTGTCTGTCTGTCTGTTACCGCATCACAGAAAAACCACTGGAGGGATTTTGATAAAATTTGGTATAGGATAGCTGGTTATCCGGGTCAACATACTATACTATACTTTTAACCGTGGGAAAATATCTCATTTCTGAGAAAAAATACAAAAACTGCAATGTAAGAGTATACTAATATGTAAAATCTAATTTGGTCATCTGAACGCGGGCGGAGCCGCGGGCACTGCTAGTATGAGTATAAATATTAACATGTACCAGCAATGAAAACATGTGAAAAATTCATCCTATATGGCACTCTTAATTCAAAATAAAATTCTTAATTTGTTTTAATGTGGATATTTAAAATTTCTTAAAAAAAATATAATTTAAATATTATTGACTTACAACCAAAACAATAGTTTTGTATAAAATAACATAATTAAATATACTATATAGAATATTATCTCTATTTATTATATTAAGCTTTCAGCTCAATAAAAAATCACTTACCAAGCTGACTTTAACTTGCCATTAGCAATGTAAGAGCTAGCAGCTCTCAACTCAGGCTGCCTCAACCTCCATGCATGGTACAATTTTAACTCGGCTTCCTGTTTCCGAAGTTGTTCCTCCTTTTCCATAATACCTTGGTTGATCTCTTGCAACGTCGACGTTGGTACTTTGTTTAGATATGAACTGAAATTAATGTTAGTTTTAGTTACACAATAAAACAGGTTTTTACTAAGAAAGTTGAGTACTTTTTTGTAAGTAAAGACTTTTCATCCACTTGTTAATTATATTTTCTTCTAAATATTACAAGTTTAACAGATTTTTATTACAGTTTTTAAGTCCCTTTCATTCTAAGCTTGATTAAAAAGAAGTAAATTACAAAGTTCATTAAAGTATATAAATTATAGAGGCATGTTTTCACTATGCATTATACTAATATAAAGTAAAGTAGCACCAGTGGCAGAAAAGTTCAAAGGAAATCATCTAAGTTGATATGGACATGTGAAGAGAAGGGATGAAACGCATGTGCTGAGAAGAGTGATGGTAGTGAATGTGATGATGAAGATGGATGGAAAGGTAGAGGGAGACCGAAGTAAAGATGGATAGATTGTGTGAGACAGGACATGAAATAGAAAGGGGTGTATGATGAGATGACGAGTAATAGGAGAGAATGGAAGAGGAAGACTTACCAGACCCCAAGTAACTTGGAAAATGGGCAGGGAGAAGATTATACTAATAAAGAGGTGTAATAAACAAATATCATCTAGAAACAGTGAACTTTTTCAATGTCAAGCAAGCATTTACTGTGTTATAATTGCTAAAATTAGAATAACTCTAACTTACCAGTGTTTCTCTACCACAAGTTAATGCATATTACTACATACTAGAAATAATTTATTTGCTAAATAAATAGATATTCATGTTATATTTTTCTATTTAATAGAAAAAAAGATGCTACCTTTCACTTATATTATTAATTGTAAAAATCAAAGCTGCATGCATTTATTATCTACACAATAAAGTTAGCTCACTCCTTATGTGTACAAACTACAAAATATATTAAAATAATAATAAGTCATTATAAATATTATAAAGGAATTAAATAAAAGCAAATTCTACTTAGAAGTATTATTTTTATTTTGTGTTTTAAATAAGTTATTGAGATACCCATTTTTATAATATTTAGGTTGTGAAGCCAAGGCTTTGAGCTCTTCCTGGTACTGCATATTCTCCTGAAATAGCATTAACTCTAGCTTCTTTCGTCTTTCTTCTAGTTGTCTGAAACATTTTTTAAAATATTTTAATGCTTATTACACAGAATTATGATCAAAGAATTAATTACTAACAAATACTTCAAACAACTTTTGATACATGGTATATTTTTTAACTTTTTAACAAAATATACATAAAAATTTAGAATATTGTATGACATCTAAATTCTTTCTTATTTTGACTCATATTAGAATTACTTTTGCTCCAATTATTATTGCAATATTCAAAATAAAATCTTATCATGTTAGGTGCGTAAAAGATTTTATTAAAATACTTCTTTAAACTTTTTAACAATATTACTTAAGATTTTCTACCACAAAAGAAATTAGAAATATATAATCTTACTTCATTTATTACCTCATTATAGTGATTATTTACAAGTACTAAAAAGTACAAGTAAGAATTCCTAATTACAATTATATACTATTGACTCAACACTTACGCAGTTCTAATTTTCTTTTCACTAAGCAGCTCAGCTTCTTTCTTAGCTTTCTCATAGTATCCTTCAGTTGTCCATTGTTCATGATGTCTGGACTTATTGGTGTTAAGTTCAAAATAATTAGCCACCTTCTTAAGTTCTTCAGCTCGACGTAGCTCATTGTCTCTTCTTTGAGCAGCTATAGCTTGTAACTGCCACTGTGGTTTCATGCGTGACATTCTTGAATTAAAGTTTAAAAAAAAATGACACATATGAATAAAATAATGGAGGAGTTTTTTGTTCGTTAGATAAATTAATATTTTTATAAGTTATTTCATTCAGGTCATACTTCTACAAAATAATTCTAAGTTACCTGTTAAATGTGTATCCTTAGGATAAACTAGTATAAACTTATGTTTACTCCAATACTAAAATGATGTTGAAAATATTTACAATAACTTCTTACTTCATAATGAGTCACAAGCTACTTTAAACCTGCTTCAAAATGACTAATTTTGTGAGATCGATAACTAACCTCGGTCGACTGCACACTGTAAGGTCTCTTCCAATTCTGGATTTACTTCCTATCACTACGATATTGCATGATTTTGCTCATACGATTGTACATACGCGTGGGCTACGACACTGAATTGGACGTGAGGTCAGTCAGTTAATTGAATTACAAAATTACTTCCTCAGAAATCGCTACAATTATTGCCCTCGATCACGAACAATTTGAAAACATCAAAAGCGTTACGAATACAAATCATCAAAACAATTCAAATGTCATTAATCATTATTTTAGTGACAGTTACCTAGCAACCGCTACGTTACTTAAATCGTTTGAAAATTTGATTCCTCTTACAAACAAGGTGTTGTATTTTGTATTTAAGAAATTTAAAAATAAATTATTACTGCTACTTCGTTGTAATAAACAAAATTAACGTACTATAAAATTTAATAACTATTGGTATATTAATATATCGATCAGATATGACTAATGGTGGTCCTTGTATCTCATAAATGGTTATTTGGAAATAGTAATAATCGAATATTTATTATTTCACTGAAGAGAAAAAAACAGGGGAAGTACTATGTGACAATTTTTTTTGTATTAAAACCTCTGTCGGTAAACTCATTCAAATACATTATTAATTAATTAATCATAATATACTATTATTAATTAATTAATCATAATATTTATTATATTACACTACAAAATATAAACAAGAGGTTTGATTGGTATGTTTTATTATAGTAAAAACTAGCATAACTATCAATATCTCATAATAAAAAAATTATCTCTTTTCACAAAAATCAGGTTTATTCGTCGTACAGTGGTAGGTACGTAATTATGACATTTTATATTTTAAAGTGTAATTTCCGCTTCTTGTCCAGAGATGGCGGTAATCTCAATGCACACAATTATGAAAACAATTACATCACATATAAGGTTGATATTCGCATCGTAGACTGATATATACTGCTACTCAAGCAGTGCAGTAAAACATTGAAATTTCTATTACATTATCGATATCGATAAATATTCGTTTTATTATTTAATTAAGAAATATAGAAAAAGTAAAAAAGTTAAAAATATCATTGACTATTATTTAAATTTAATAAATATATAGTTATCTACGTTGGCATCGAGTAAGCGTTGTACTGCGTGATTGTGCCATATGTGCCACGCCTACTTAGCAGTTCCCTATGTAGCATTATTTGTAAACTAAAATAGAAAGTTCACCATTGTTGACAAAATTTACAAATTTACTTCCAAGTCAGATCTTTCATAGATATTTAGACTTCAAACACAAAACGTAAAAGGCACTATAAAACTATAGATCCAAGAATTCAGTATTCACAGAAAATATACTATAACTACCCACCTGCTCAAGATTCACGATCCCTCTCTGCTGCCTCCTTCTGAGAAATGACGGCCTTGCAAAAGGAGACCATGGCCTTTTTCGCCACATTGTCTATGATGTTGAGGAACACATGCGATGTAATTTTAAAGTGTGGTGCGAGGGAGTCTATCTATGGATTCACCAAACTCAACACCCAGCGTGCAACATAGCACAAGTATGTACCGAATCATCCATTTCAGGTAATCCTACAGTAGCCTGAAGTGTCGACACCGTATCGTCTCCTGTATGACTGTGTCTGTGATCTGCCTGTCATGCCTTAATGGCAGGATAGACAAAACAGTGAAATGAATACGAGACGTCAAGCGTCCAGATATTTCATTTGGGATCTAACCTCAACCTTTATTTTCTGAACGATAAGACGGAGCTTTCAGGACACCCTTCCGTACAGCCAAAAAGCTAATTCTCGGAGTAGTAGTAGGTACTGTAAACTGTTTTTATTTGAGTGTCGATAATAGCCAATAGGAAAATCTAATCGCCATTAGGATTCAAACTAGCGAATTAATGACGCTATATATAGATACCGTTATTTTTAGAAAACTATATTATTATCTGTTTACAGATACTAGTAAATAAGAACTAATTAAAATCTTCTAAAAAGAAATATAATATAAATAAATATATACTAAATATAAATAAAATATAATCAGACGGCTGTACGTTTAGCTACATACTCGTATATCTTTACGGATTCATGAAAAATAAACTCAAAATTTTGCATTGACATTGGTAAATTATTGTTATTCTTTTATTTTACAACAAACTGACGTCCTATCTATACTTAGACTAAGGAAACAAATCATAATACCATTTCTATCTTCAACACTGCTTTAGCCCGTTCCTTCTATTAAAGTGTGAAATTATTCAAATAACTACTTATCTGTGTTTAATCTCTTAAGCAAGCTCTTTTGATACGTTTAATTTAATTGAAAGAGAATCTGTGCCGTCAGTCTGTGTGGAAGCTTCCACAACTAGCTCAAAATACAGTTCGGTCGTTCTGGATCAAATCTCTTCATGTGTCCATTATTATATCCCCCCGAAGTCCGAACATGTATTTACCATATCATTGTGGAAGCGCTTAGTAGAATCCGGCAATCCAGTCGGACACCCAAAATGTACTTGGAAAGCGGACCACCTCGTTGAGTGGGAGATGTATGTACCATGAATGTTGCTTCTGATACTGTTCTAATAGTAGTGTGCATCGTGAGAACAGCCCTCGATTGTCGCAGATGGGGAGATAGACAACCTTCTTACAAAATTACCCCTAATCCCAAAGTCGTCAAGCCGAAGTAAAGCATGGTCAGAGGGCTTTATCGCTTAGGAGTAGGTCTGTCTCGGTAGGACGGCCGTCGAGCGTCGTGGTTGAGTGCGTAGGTTATCCTGCAGTGCTCCATTAAAAGAGGAAGGTTTCCGTTGGGTTTTAATGAGTAGTAATGGCTTTTCTAGCAAACGAGCCTGTATGTATACGTGTGATAATTGTAAATGCATTTCCTAGCTAAAAAAAAGGATTTGATGTACAATGGTTCCAAGTTTGATTGTATGTTACAGCCTTTCTACATATTGTTATTTATACTGTACTAGCACTGCCCGCGGCTCCGCCCGCGTTCAGATGACCAAAAACCAAGTCCTTAGGTTTTACATATTAGGATACTCTTATATTGCAGTTTTTGTATTTTTCCTCAGAAATGAGATATTAATATTGTCCCCACCGCCGTGCTTCCTAGATTGCCCCTGTGGCAGGTGTGTCAGGTGGGTCTTACATAATTATAAATGCTAATCAGCCATATTTACAAAATAATGTTTGCACTAATTCTATAAATAATTTATGTTATTGAGACATTTTGCTAATTAAATATTTAATTACAAGTGTAAATGTATGTACAATCTATAGTAATAATTTAATTATAAGCTATGAATATAATGTTATAATTATACAAATAGATTTATGTATATGACAGGATGCGCCCTGCTATGTCTAAGTACATGAATAATGTTAAGTTTCTCGTAATTAGCCTATACTAATATTATATAGAGCTGTCTCGGTGGTGTAGTGGCTAGCATGTACGGCTGCACACCCGGAGGTCCTGGGTTCGAGTCCCGGGTCGGGCCAAGTTTAGTCATTGAGTCTTCCTGTATAGTAAGTCTCAGTAACAGCCCGGAGTTGGGAAGTTGGCGGTGTTTCACCCCCGTGCCTCGGAGAGCACGTAAAGCCGTCGGTCCTGCGCCTTAACTCTCACCGGTCGTGTCGAGTGGTCGTCCCACCGGAGTATGAGAGTGATAGGAATAGAGAGTGCACTTGTGTCTGCGCGTACACTTGAGCACTATAATATCTCCTGCGCAGTTGGCTAATCTCATTGAGATTGGCCGCCGTGGCCGGAATCGGCTAGGAGAACATCATCATCATCATATAGAGGCAGAGTTTGTTTGTTTAAACGGGCTAATCTCAGGAACTGCTAATCCGATTTGAAAAATTCTTTTTGCTTTAGAAAACTCATTTATTGAGAAAGAATAGGCTATAAATCATTAATATATTAACTGTTAAAACTATTCCATATTAACCGTCAAACGTACCTAGGGACGAACCCGAGCGAAGCGAGGGTGAGTCGCTAGTATATTTATACGTTACCATGGTAATGCATTTTATTAGATTGTAAAGCGTATCTAAAGACGTATAATTGTCTTTCAAAATGAATGATCTTTTTCTGTCATGTTAATGTTTTCCTTTTTTGTTTGCAACACATATTTAAAAGGTTACGCTAAATAAGCATGTAAAAATATAATACCTATTCACATTCACATAAAATATGAAAGTAAAAGCTATCGCGCTCTTGAAATTTCATCAATTAGGTATTATTAAAACATTTTCTTAAGATACATGAGGATATTTTATATCAAAGTTACAAAAACTACGAAGTGAAAGCAGATTGTGTCTCTGTGATGAACATGAGATGAGAATCTTTTTCAAACACCCAAACCTAAGAGCTAATCCATCGATTCAATTCTTCGGAACTACTATTTTAATATTAATTTATGTTTTATTAGAGAAAAAAACTCATCTTAAAACCAAAATTCTCACAAAAATACAATATATTTCAAAACGTCAACTAGAAAATCGTAGAGTGATTCTGACACAACTAGTCAGTTTTTATTATTTGTTTTTATTTTCAGAATTTAAAGGAATATATATATATATATATATATATATATATATATATATATATATATTTATGTAGATGTTAACTTCAGTATGATTTTACTGAGCTAAGAATAAAAATGATTTTTGCTCATCGTCCTTTGCCGTCGTTCATCGCATATGTAGGCAATTGCATAAATTTATTTGAGAAAGTGTCAATTTAAACATAATATTATTAATTTTGGTATGATTTTTTGATTTTTATTGACTAAAAATGGTCGAAAAATAGTTTATGTTCAAACAATTTTCATAGATTTTCTCCGAAATCTAATCGCATATATTTCTAACTAAGTGCACCTAGAAATTCTTGTGTTACAAAATAAATGATAATGTTTAAAGAAATCGTGTGTTAAATTAGATACTGTCTCTTAAAGTAAGCAATTTACTTTACATAATTTGTATTTTATCTTAAACGGCTTAAAATTCCTAATAAAGTTTCTATCCCCTGCTTATCAGAAATCAATAAATTCCTATATACAATGATTGTATTTGCATTTTATTCCATTAAAGTTGTTATTTAAAACTAGATATCGTCCGTGACTCCTCGAGCTTACAAATACTTGTCGATGGCTCCAACGAATAGAGACCAAAGTGCATTACTAGTTTCAAAGAAGGGCCACTTAAAAGTTAATATTTTTAAGATAGTCTTTCTTTATTAACACAACCGTGTTAGTAACAAGAATAACATTATAATATTTGTTATGAAAAATTCTATTTTTGGTTACTTCAGATCTTTATTTATACATTAATTATATAATTCTACATGCTCTTTACTACTATTCTCGCTATTAAAAACAATGTGTTACATTATTCATCCTGAGCTATAAACTGACCAAGGAATGCTCACAGAGACCATTCTACTTCTTAAAGAAGCAAAATGTAAAGCCGGTACAGCACACCTCCCAATATCTGCTACACACACCGTCTCATCTAGTCCGATAAAATTATCTTTTTCGTCTATTCATTCCAAGCGTAGCTGGATCGCCGGATCGTTATTGAGCCTTCCCATCACGAGAAGATGGATACTCAGTAAAACGCTGGAGAATACAACTCCTGTCCAGTGAGTGAGTCGCGGTACTCGTGGTTTTCTTTAAAGATATCAGTATAATAACATTAAGGTGTCTTGTTTTTTTCTTCGTGTATTACTACTGTTATGAAGAAAGTAAAAAAACATTAAAAAATAAAAAATGCTCTAAATAACATAACGGTTGATTTAGCCATATTGTAATTCTATCGTAAATTAATAAAGACATTTTCACGACCAAGTAAAATATATTTTATATGACTACTATGCTTTTATTATTGCTAAATCTCCTCTGGGCGGGCAGGCGCGTAACTAGTAAACTTTGCTTGGAGCTTCAAAAGCTCTTGTTTTCATTGAGTCCATGCTTGCGGCCTTCAAGGTGATAGCGGGTCACATTCCGACGCCATGAAAAGGCGAGCTATATTTTCTATCGCGTTCTAACTTCAGTGGTAGCAATTTGAGTGTTGCCCTATCATTCAATATTTCTAAATAAGTAGTAATTAATTTATATTTTATTAAAGTTGCTTATATTACATTTTGAAGTGTACTTAGTACAATTTATAATTATTTGAAATTTATATTTGTATCACAAATAATATTGAAAGAAAATTATAACATTGAATTTAATTTGCATTAAACATCACTTATATTTTAAATGAAACTTTCTGAATTTCTTCGCGGATTTATTTTGATTTCTCTACTGTGACCATGTTTGCTGTAAAGTGTTCGAAACGTTGGGAACCAATTCGCAAAAAATCCGAAAAGATTATTTATATTATAGTTTTATTTAAAATGTCAAATATTCGCGTAGATCTAAAAAAGGGTTTTATGTTA